GTTATATGGAGATAATACATATATATATATATATATATATATATATATACATATATATATATATATACATAAAGGACATGGTTGTACTTTTGCCTTTGTTTATTGCATACAGAACTGTTTCGTGCCGAGCGAAAGCTCCACACTCATCAGTGCCTAATACAGAGTGATCTATTTAGAACATCCCGAGAAGTATAATAACATCATGCATAATGTGTTCTACTGTTCGTATTCATGCGTGCGCGTTCTAATGAAATACTAATTAGAGCACCATTGTCGGTGACTGCTGCGCGCGGGCGCTAAACTGAATTCATTGTAAGAGTTCACTTAACGTTCCTTAATAAAAATTTATCTTATGTCACCGACAATGGCGCTCTAATTAGTATTTCATTAGAACGCACACGCATGAATACGAACAATAGAACATATTATGCATGATGTTTTTATACTGCTCGGGGTGTTCTAAATAGATCACTCTGTATTAGTGTGGAGCTTGCGCTCCATACGAAACAGCTCTGCATGCAATAAACAGAGGCAAAAGTACAACCATGTCCTTATAACTTTATCTATATTTGCTCTACTCATGGTAGTATTGAGCACTCTCGACACACGAGTTCTTAAACAACCATTGGAATATATATATATATATATATATTATAGAGATTGTACAGAGCAGCTGTGGAAGAGCATGTATACGTGCGGAATAACTCAATATGGATACTCTGGAAACTATATATAATTTATTAATTCATGCTAGTCGCTTGTGAGCCGTGCCGGTCTAACCTTCATGAGCCTCCTGCACCTCGCAGACTGTTACGTCAGCGTTGTGCCTGCCCCCTGGCGGTACAACGCCAAGTCGTGCACGGGGAGGAAGCAGTGTCGGCATCCATGATGTTGTCAGAACTGCCACCAGATGGCCAGCAACTAGCAGCGCCATCTACTAGTGAACGCATTAAACGTACGGGATATGTTAGATAGCAGTAGCCCTGTGATTGGGAGCAATGCCGGCAGGTGGCAGCATCAGCAACGTCGCAGTACAACCGACGGTAAGAACACCGCTGCTATCAATATAGCCGACATGGATGCCGCACAAACAGCGCCTCCTAGCGGTCGTAATCACACCGCTGGTGATGCGAACAGCGCACCCTAGTGTGAGGAATAACATCTATCGCTGAGGTGGGAAATCGGCTGATAGCCACCAGATACAGTATGGGACGACAACTGCGTCCTCTAGTGGCAGATTAAGGTCTCCTGGTTTGGAAGGTTTGCTGTCAGAACCAACAGCTGCAGCAGCGTCACGTAGCGGCCAGTACGGACACTAGCCAGTGTGGCAGCAGCCAGGGTGGCGCCCTCTATTTATGGGAAATAGCGTGAGGCTGAACTGTACAGGGCGACCAAAATAGCAGTGGGAATGGCGCCCCCTAGTGACAGAAACGTTGTCGCCTGTGGTAAGCACGCCATCTGTTGGCGTCATGTCGAACCTTCGTGCTATTGTTACCTAAACGGTTACCAGCTACAGCAGCGCTCCCTCGTGGCTGCAGCATCGGCGCGACGCTAAGGGGACAACGCCCCCTAGTGTCGGCAGCAGGGTCTCGCATTGTAATTCAATCTATTAGAATAAAGAGCAAGTCAGAGAGAGAGAGAGAGAGAGAGAGAGAGCCGTAGCAGCAATTTGCCCTTAATAAACCCAGCGTGTCGGGTGGAGATGAGTGGGTTTTTATTCTCAGAGCTGCAGCTGCCAGCATTGTGAGTGAGGGAGACAAGATGGCGCCAACACAGGAAGACAACATGGCGGCCACACAAGGAGACATCATGGCGGCAACACAGGAAGACAACATGGCCGCCACACAAGGAGACATCATGGCCGCCACTCAAGGAGACAACATGGCCGCCACATAAGGAAACAGAATGGCGGCCACATAAGGAAACAACATGGCGGATGCTCGCTTGATATTCTATATGTTTAACGAACCCTAACGACGCAGGCACAAGCTGCCTGCAGAGGGCGCCACACACTCCACGCGTGTGTGAGCCTCAGTGAATTCAGTGCCTCCTAGCGGTGGTAGCATAAGTGTTAGAACTGCAGCAGTGCAATCAGCGCCCCCTCGCGGCGGCATTGACGCGAGAATGACATAGGACGACGTAATCGGCGTCGCGAGAAACGGTCGGCGCCGTGATTTTACGAATTCCCGCGCGTAGGCGTGTAACAAGAAATAAAGGTGACCGGCTTTTTCCCGTAGAATATTAACACGCAGCTGAAGCTGTCCTCTCGTGGCTCAAGCATATCATAGCATTACGTGTGAACACGCCCTCTGGTGGCAGTTGAGCATCCCGTGCCCTGCCCCCCTCTTCCGCTCCCCCCTCCCCCCTCACCCCGCTCTCCTCTTTTACTGGCATGATGTATATTGTGGCCGTAGACAGGATGAGACAGGAGCCACTATATGCTAAACATGCTACACAGGCCGGTGTGAGAGTGGTGACGTCACCGCGCGTACGCACTACTGGCCGCGCAGCAGCAGTATCAGCAGCAGCAGCAGTAACAGCAACAGTAGCAGTAGCAGCAGCAGTAGCAGTAGCAGTAGCAGTAGCAGTAGCAGTAGCAGCAGCAGCAGTAGCAGCAGCAGTAGCAGCAACAGTAGCAGCAGCAGCAGCAGTAGCAGCAGCAGTAGCAGCAACAGTAGCAGTAGCAGTAGCAGTAGCAGCAGCAGTATTAGCAGTAGGAGCAGCAGTAGCAGCAGCAGTAGCAGCAGCAGTAGCAGTAGCAGTAGCAGCAGCAGTAGTAACAGTAGCAGCAGTAGCAGCAGCAGCAGCAGCAGCAGCAGTAGCAGTAGCAGCAGTGACAGCAGCAGTAGTAGTAGTAGCCGCAGCAGCAGTAGTAGTAGTAGCAGCAGCAGTAGCAGCAGCAGCAGCAGTAGTAGTAGCAGCAGCAGTAGTAGTGGGAGCTTACAGCAGTAGCAGCACCATCACCACCACCACCACACCAGCAGTAGCAAAGTGAGCTCACAGCAGCAGCAGCAACGGCAGCGACAGCAGCAACAGTAGCAGTAGCAGCAGCAGCAGTAGTAGCAGCAGCAGCAGCAGCAGCAGCAGTAGCAGCAGCAGTCGCAGCATCAGTAGCAGCAGCAGCAGCAGTAGCAGCAGTAGTAGCAGTAGTAGCAGCAGCAGCAGTAGCAGCAGTACTAGCAGCATTGGCAGCAGCAGCAGTAGTAGCAGCAACAGTAGCAACAGCAGCAGCAGCAGTAGAAGGAGCAGTAGCAACAGCAGCAACAGCAGCAGCAGCAGTAGCAGTAGCAGCAGCAGTAGTAGTAGTAGCAGCAGTAGTAACAGATCACCTCTCCTCTGTCTCTCTATCTCTCTCTCTCTCTCTCTCTCTCTCTCTCTCTCTCTCTCTCTCTCTACTCTCTCTCTCTCTCTTTCGCGCGC